ATAAACATTTTTTAGAAAGAAAAAAAAAGGATACCTCCCTCACAGAGTTGTCTTGGGAATGAAATGAGACTGATTACAAAGCGCTAAAGTAAAATCTAAGTACTCCATACAGGTGGGTCCCTTTCCTCTGGTTCCTCTAATTATTCCTTCTTTGTGCTCCTAGTGGGCACCAGCTGTTGAGCTGTGTGTCTGAGAAATACTGAGCGGTCAGGCTGCCAGGGAAATGTCATCCACAGGTTCACCTCCCCAGAGAAGAAGTAAGAAAAATGCTTATCAGCAGGAACTCAGAAAACCTACTGTAACTCCGGCGAGGGAGAAAGAAAATTCCAGATACAAAACGAACCTCGACGGCGAATTGGCAGTTCTTTCCCCTCTCAGGCGTGGCTTCCCCATCTGGGACACGAGGGTGAACGTGAGCTGACTGCTTCCTGGCCGCGGAGGGCTGCGGCCCCCGCCCGGGCGCAGGGCACAGAGTGAGGAACCGTCCAGGGAATGCAGGGAGCGGGGCTGCTGGCTCTTAGTGTCGCAGAGACCAGACACCCTCGCGACTCAGAGCCTGGATGAGAAATGTGTCCTGAGTGTCCTGGAGCCCAGACTCCCACGGGCCTGCCTCTTCAAGCAGAGGGCAAGCCTTCCTTGCACGGATATTTCCCCAACTCACTCCCGCTGCCTTTGAGCTAATGAGGCGTGGAATTAAAGTTCGCGACTGAACAGCACGGCCCCCAGACTGGCTCACCGGCTGTGGCTGACCGAGAGCCATGACTGGATGAGGAAACTGACAGACACTCAAGTAGTCACCGATCTAAAGGTCAGATCTAGAAACTGATTTTTCAAAATGTCATGTCCTGTGTCAAGAAGAATCTCTGACATGTTCCGTGGACACGCCTCACATTCATCTCTCTCTGCTCTAAACTCATTCTGGAAGGTCACACACAGCACACCAGCCAGCACCCAGGGAGCCTAATAGCAGGGCAGGACCCGGGGAGGCTGGGGCCGCCGTGTCCTTGCTGCTAGCTGGCTCTGGCCTCCCGTCCCTGCCTCGATTTCCTTCTCGCTGAAAATGGGGGCTGTATGGACTCAATGCTTTTATTAATAAACTTGAAATTTTGGAATACTTTTAGATTTCCGGAAAAGTTGCAAAGATAGTACAGAGATCTTCATGCATTTTCCTCCAACATTACCATTTGATGTTTCCCTGGCACCTTTATCGCAACTAAGAAACCAATGTTGGCACCACATGGTTGATTAAACTCCAGGTTCTGTTTGGATGTCACTCATTTTCCCAATAATATCCTTTTCTGTTCCAGGATACCACGTTTCATTTAAGACTAAAGAAATAGTTTATAAAGTTTAGAAAGTCCCCTCCCAGTTCCAAAAACAAAGGGACAATGGGCCTTCATGGTTAAGAGCTCTGGGTGTGTTAATTCACAAACGAAGGTTGTGCTGTGTGACTTTGGGCAAATCCCTTACCTTCTCTGAGCCTCAGGCTCTTCATCTGTGAAAAGGGAACAATAGCAGTACTGCCCTATAGGGGTGCTGTGGGGTAATGGCTTGTTAGTTCACGCGAAGCACTTCTCAAGGCTCTTAGTATGCCGTGAGCACGCTGTTGATAAATCTCAACTGGTAGAAATCTCAGCCCCAACTCAGGACCACTGCAGCATACTTACACTTCCTGGCAGCAAAACGGCTGCTCCCAAAAGAAGACAGGTCACTGGCCTAACACATCAGACTCCATTCGCAAAGCACAGGACAGGAACAGGCAAAGAACTCCAGTTACCAGGCCTGGGATGGAGTCTGACACGCCTCTCCCGCTGCAGGACTTTGGGCAGACTGTTCAATGTCTGGAACTCAGCACCCACATCTGTTAAATGGGAACAAATCGCCCACCTGACAGGGCTGCTGAGAGAGAGAATGAGATACGCGCTATAAAACATGCAGGAAGATTGAAGGTGTGATGTTTGGCTGCGTCTCTCTCCTCTGCATCTTCTAGGGACTGCCACGCCATTGACTGCTTTCGGGATCATTAGAGAAATACTCCCATATCTGATATGGGCAGTTCCGGGGGTTGGTAATGAGATCCCACTCCTCTATTTTTTGAGGAGAGGGAGGGGAGTGATTAACTAAACATTTGCCTTCCCTTACCCAGCCCAAGCTCTGTGGACAAGCCAGTTCCATAATCTTCATCGCTACAATGCCTTTCCTTGCCCAGAGTAAAGGTGGACGAGGAACCCAGTCACTCTGTTGTATTGTTTTAAAAGGAAACATAAAACTATTCCCATGGTCAGTCTGACAAGCATCATTATAGGAGCTATTTTCACAGAATCATAGGACTGTTCTGTTTTCACAAAACAGCCACTGAAGGAATGGAAGAAATCAAGGAGTATCGCTCCCATTGAAAGATAAGCAAATAAAGGGGCACCTGGGTGACTCAGTTGGTTGAGCATCCGACTCTGGATTTCAGCTCAGGTTATGGTCCCAGGGTCATGGGATCGGCACTGAGCATGGAGCCTGATGAAGATCCTCTCTCCCTCTGCCCCTCTCCCTCACTCATGCTCTCTTCTCTCTCTCTCTCAATTAAAATATAAATAAATAAAGATGAGCAAATAAGAACCACAGTGACAGATCTGCTTGTTCAAGGTCATACAGCAGAAGGGGTTCAGAGTTAGAACGGTACCCCAATCACAAGATTTCTGCTTCCTTGCTCACGGTTCCCTGAGCTGCGGGAAGACATGCATCTGTCCAACATCCATCCATCCACCTGTCCATCTGTGTTGACATTGGACACCTTCCTTGCAGCAAACACTGCGCTGGGCTCTGGAGAGTTCAAGGGTGAGCCAGACTGTCACAGTCCCAGACCCCAGGGAGCCTCCCATTCCATGACCAAGTAGGACTGAGGCAGGGTCATCTCTTTCCCAAGGGTCTACAGTGCCTGGCACATGGAAGGCGCACAGTAAATGTTTAGTCGGTTATGTATCTCTCACCCTGGGCGATGCTGCCACCTTTAAAGCAAATGTACCAGGTTGTTTGGAAGAGGCAAATGGGGCTAAAGGCTCAATATTTGTATTTATCTCAGACCACCTTCTCCAATCATCATTCTACCAGAAGACTTTATGGGGCAATGTGCAGACACAACAACAACAACAACAACAACATTGAATACAGAGTCCAAAGACCCAAGTTCAAGTCCCAGCTCCGAGCTGCTTACTCCTGAGTAGCTACTGAAAGGCACTCGCGCCTCAGTGTTCTCATCTACAAAACGGAGCAAATAATATTTGACTTGCCTGTTTCACTGTGAATATAAAAGGGGGAAGGGAAATGGGTGGAGGAGGAAAAGAATACCACTTCTAGAAAGTTCGCTGTGAGTAAAAGGTAATGGAGATGTTACTTGAATGATTTACTCATTCATTGAGGACACAAGGGGAATTAAAAGTGATCAGCTTCCCAGCCAGCGCTTGCACACTCTCATTCCAAACGTCTATAATGTGACTGGTTGAAATCGCCCCAGATTTGTTCCTACCTTTGAAGAGATTACATTTATGTATCTGTGGCATTACATGCCATCCCAGCCAATCCTGACCCATATTTCTCTCCATTCGGTGCATGTAACAACAGTACTCAGAGGTGTTGTAACCTTAATTCTTGCAAAGTGTTTTGAAATCCTTAGATTAAAAAGCTCAGGGAAGTCCAAAGTATGCCCAAGGAGCTAGGCTGAGCTTCATCTGGATTCGTGGGAGCGAGGAGACACGACTGCAGATTCTGAGGCTTCAGGAACTTTGGGGTTTAAGGGTCCTATCCACGGGATGGCCCCAGACCAGCCCCCGGCTTCCTAGTTTCTAAGCTACTCAGGCATTTGGCTATTTCCCCCACGCTGCTACTGATGTGTTTTTTCCATTTCTCTTAAGTTACTGGGTCACGAGGCCTGAGTTGCATTTACTTTGGTGTCATAGGTCTCCTTCCTTGGGTGATCTCAGCCTGAGTCCTAGAAAAAGGCAATTGTGTCATCTGTAACTTCTGCGTGCCTTGTCATTTAAACCCAGAGCTCATTCATTCCATTCTAAGTTTTACTGTTAAAAGAGGAGTTTCAATTCTGCCCCATGGGCGTGACCCTCAGGAGGAGGGCGGGGGGTGGGGGGGAGAGCAGGGGTAGCCGATAGGAACTGAGAGGGGCCGGAGACGGCCCTGGGATCCTAGCAGTATTTTGTGTTCTGGATCTGGTCAGATCCTGCCACTGTCTTCCTGTTCAGTTTGTGAAAAGTCAGAGCTAAACACTTTCAGGCGCATTTTTCTGCAAATTTGTTACACTTTACAATCTAAAGTGTTTTTTTAAAAAATCACTCTCGATGCTAATTTACTTCATTTAAAATTGCTTCTGATGTAATAGTGAAGCTATTAACCTAATGAAAACCCTTCCTCTGCCTTTGTGATCCAAAATACCGTGGATTTAGTTTTTCCTTTTTCCGTCCTTTATTTCCATTTTTACACTTACTGGGGGGAAAAAAGGAAATGCCTCAATTAGCCATTTTAATTAAGTCAAATGCCCCCGGCGGGGCGGGGGGGGGGGGGGGGGGGGGGG